GCACGCACGAGTGCGGGTGGGTTGCCTACTTTGTCCGGCCCGTAAGGCGCCGTGGACAGGGGCGATAGGCAAGCCCGCTTGCACTCGTGCGTGCGTTACAGTCTAACTACAGAAGTGCGCGGGGTATACAGGTGGGTGGTCCATCGAGTCCACCGACCCCTGCCTTTATTTTGCTGATACTGTACCGTGTACCGTCTGCAGGCGGGCGGGTTTGCCTACCGTGTCGCTCACCACGGTACCTTATAGCTCCGTGATAGTATAAGCAAAATCAAGGAAAGGGTCGGTGGACCACCCTGTAATACCGTTTCATATTCCTTATTTCTGCATGACCGTTATTAGATGGCGATCAGAAGAGCCTAGTCATGGTCTAAATCCGGGCGTCGGGGCGTTTAAGCGAGTCCGGTGATATTCCACAGCTATAGCGATAGTCCTGCAGCGAAAAAACATTCACCCCAGGGCGTTGCCCCCCCCCCCCCTGCTTTTCAACCGCGCGCATTATTCCCATCATATTGCATTGCTCATCTTATTTGCTCGATTCAATTCATCACGGTTTCCTTCCACTGCCTCTGAACCCCACCCCCCCCCCCTCCCCCCTTTTCTGGACCACCGATCGGTCCTGAATAAAGGAACCTCCTTTCTCTGTCTTGCCCCAGGCGCTCCTCCTACAGTGCGAGAAAGACGACGAATCTCGTAGGTTTCCGAACGCGCATTCTCATCCCCGGTATAAATTATGCCTCCTCCCTACCAAGGAGCACCATTCGACTGCAGATCGTCCCCCACACCACCCACTACAACATGCTCTTCGTGGTGAGTACCTCGGCCGGTAGTGTGAGCAAATCGTCCCTGCTGCCCGTCGGCTGACCGGGCCATCCTTGTCCGCTCTGTGCCCGCAGCGCTCACCGCTGGCCGCCGCCCTGGGCGCGCTGCTGCTCGTCGCCGTGCTGCTCCCGGAGTGCCTCGCCCAGTACTACGACCCGTACTACGGCCCCGGCTACTACCACCGCCGCTCCTACCACTACTACGGCGGCGGCTACCCCGTCGTCGGCGCCGGTGTTGGCTTCCACGTCGGCGTGGGTGCCGGCTACGGTGGGGGTTACGGCGGGTACGGTGGTGGTTACTACCGCCGTTGAGAGGCTCAATTCGCTTAACTATCTGTGCTGGTGTCCGCGCGTTGATGTACACCGGGCAGAAACTACGAAGTTCGCAGGCTTTCTTTCAAGCGGATTCTAACAGAATCTGCCCATTTAATGAGGCGCTTTAGTGCAATAAGGTCCCACTAAGGGGTCTTGGGCCAAGGCTTAGCTCTCCCCCTCGCTCTCTGGATCCGCGTGCCCGTGCGTATATCCGGCAGAGGGCAGTCCCAGGAGGCAGATATCTTCAAATTTTATTTGGTAGATTGTTAATAAGTGTAAGGAGTGCGGTAGAATGCAGACATGTCTATACCTCTGTATTACACTCGAGTTGTACGAAATAAAAGAGAAAACGGATGTATCTCTGCCTTTATAAAATAATTACCATCTACATTCGCCATTCATTCGCACGCTTTTATTTTCCGACAACACGCTCAGTCATTCCCTCGTGTCACGAACTGCGGTTTTGACTTTGGGTTTTACCCGACGAGAGCAAAGAACAAAAGAAAAAGAATCACTCATCAGAGGTGGGTACCACGCCCCCTTCGAATATATCCTACGAGCATGCCTCCTCCGCATCCGTCGCAGGTCGCAGTACCGCGCTTTAAAAACATCGGCTTCCCGAGGAACCAGTTCCAGTTGGCTCTGTATACCGTCAGAGGCACCCGCACACGAATGTCTTCCCCAGCCGCCGCTCTTCGCGCCCTGGTGAGTGTCGCCATCAAGGTCTCTGCATAGTGCTCCTGTAACTCGTTACAAGCCAGCCCTTCTCCCCCAGGTGGTGCTGTGCGGAGCCCTGCTCGTCGCGCTGCCGCCGCCGCCGGCAGCCGCCTACCCGCGCCCCTTCCCGCACCCGCACCCCCATCCCCGGGCCTTCCCCATGGCGATGCCCAGCTACGACCCCTACTGCCCGTACCCGGAGGGCGGTGGCGACGGGTACGACTACGCCTACGGCGCTGAGGACGGCAACGGGCTGTACGGCTCCGGCGATGCGGGCTACGCGCAAGGCTACAACGCCTACTCCAGCTACAGCGGCTACGGCGCCGGCTCCATGGGCGGCTATGGGGGTGGCTACGCGCACCCTTCCGGCATGAGCGCGTCGTCCTTTGGAGTCGGCTTCGGCAGGTAGATTGGTCTGCGGTTCGACGTGGGGTACAGAAAACGTCCTAAGGCGAGACTACTTTATCATCTACTATTTCTCGAGCAGGGCGGGGCGAAGAAGGGAGGAGGGGGGGGGGGGGGAATTGGTGATTAGGATGGAATCGTGACCTCCATCAGAAGCGAGTGTTCCGAATCGGTTTCCAAGCAAAGGCCATTACGCGACGCCCTAGGGGCGTCATGCTGCTGGGAAGTCCCGTGGTCGTGTCAACATCCAATCCTAACGTTGCTACCACCTCTCTTCGTCTTTTAAAGTTTTTTGTGATTGTGAATGGATAGGGCTTGCAGCTGGGGATAGTAAATATACTATACGGAGTTTATCTATGTTAGAATTTATTTTCCATAGAGTACGATTGAGTACATTCTACAGCAGAAAACACGGTTCAACATACATACAAATAATATTAACTAACACTTGGTAAAATGAAAAGTTCTGTTTACCATGAAACTATGTTACATTAGAAAATATCCGAGATGACGGAAGTACGATTTTCTAATATCACACATTTACTGAAACAATCATGACAAGGAGCCAGAGAAGCACAAAATCAATCTTTTCAGGCCAAGAAATATCAGATCAACATGTGCACACTTCTCCTCAAATAGAAGCATTTGTATGGAAAATAGCAACAAAACCATAATGCAAATAAAAATGAAGGATGTTTAAACTGTAGTACAACAAAACCTAATTAAAAAGAGACAGCTATGTATTTGAGATAAATCAGTCATGGAGGGTGTGCCAAATCTTGGATATTGAAGATTGCTAGTCTGATGTAAACACCATACCATGACCTTTGACAATCAGTGATTCTGGAACAGATGATAATAAACTGAGGGAGAAACAGCGCTGTTTACATGGATTTGATCATTTTCTCAAAAGAACCTGATTTATTTATCATTTGCCACTCAACACTGCACAAACCATAGTTTTCACAAACAACGGAAGCTGCCACCACTTCTGGACTAGAATATAAATACTTTCACAACAATTAAAAAAAAAAAAAACATGGAAAAGCTAAATGTTATACCATACATCTTCAGGTCTAGGACTTGACTTTCTAGAAAAATAATTACAATAAATACTTTGTAACAGGAATATACAGAGAACAAAATTGATTAAAAATCACATAATTTGGCAATGCACACAGTCCACAGGCCTGCAACATTTAAAACAGTGGTGTAGAGATACAGTATCTATGAGTTTTAAGGAACATGAACAATGGGGAACTGGTCTGCCAAATTTCAACAGCTTTATCATTCAGAGTTTACCAAGCTACAGTATCATATACAACGATAGATAACATGAGAAATATAAATAGCAGATAAATTGGTTTCACTTAAAACAAACACACAAGCAAAGCCCAAAACAATAAGCCTCTGAGCCTCTCTTCACACCACTGTTCACATGCTACAGAGACTGGAAAGAGTCATTCCAGTTTTTATTAACTATGACCACAATAATCAAAAGGAACATTAAGTAAGTCTAACGCTCTATGCTTAAAAGTATTACAAAGTTAAATCTTAAACAAAAAAAAAATCATAAAAATAAAATAAAAGGTGAGCCTCAATCTTCCTACTTTCAGCAGAGTTCTGTCTCAAAGACACGTCAGACTTATTGATTTTCAAGCTTCTTCAGCCTTTAATTAACTTAAAAGTAGTAAACTCATTCTTTTGCAATAAGAGAACAGATTTGTATGTAGCAGAAATTGCTCAAAACACAGGTGATATTGTACATAAACTGAAAGTGCTGCACAAGCCTCAATCACAAAACGACATATCAATAATAAACCTTGATATGAGTAAAATAACAGAAGGGCAAAAATTACAAAAAAAATAATAATCACTAGTTTGTGAGAAACCAAACAACTCTGAAACAGAAACTGTCAATTGAATTTAAAAGTAACAATATTTACTACACTGAAATTGAAATGAATGAGTAGAAACATATTAATAAGAAGCCTATTTTCAAAGGAAAGAACAAAACCAATCAAGATTATAAATGATATGTAATGTCTTTCAACAACAAAGCAGATAAGCAGATTAATTTCATGAAGTTGTAAAAAAATCATCACAGATTGCTTGAAAGCTTCAAAACAGTTTAGATAAAATGGTTTAAAAGAACAAGCTTTAATGAATCCTTTTGTATGAACACAGTATCTCCAACATACCAAAATTTCCTTGCAGTCATAATTGAGATTTCTACATTCTATTACTAAACTAACAATAACATGATACATAATAACAACAACAGTAACAATGACAAAAAACATTAACAATCACTTATCGCTTATCAAAATATACTATATTCTCCTCATAGGAGAGTTAACTTTTCCAAACTGTGCACATCTGAATTCTGACAGATACACATATAGTTAAGACTCCCAGCAAAAATTTATGCCCTGTGGAAATGTGGTATCCTGGTCTGGAACATGAGATATTTCACAAACTCTTTGCACTTGCAAAATATCCACCATCGCTGGTAACAACAATAATCCAAACTAAGAGCAATAATTACAGATGTATAGACGGAATCACTCATGGAAAGCAAATATAGATATATCCTTCCTCAGATTACCATGAGTCACGACTTTTCTCTCTAGGGCACAACCTCTAGAGAATGATAAGTGGTAAACCTTTGGCGCTTGTACCTAGTGACTCAATTAATACTCTAACAGTAAGATTACTGTACTATACAAGACAATTAATCCAAGCTTCCCTGAATATTAAAAGGAGGCAAGTTATGGCACATACTTTACATCCTTACAAAGATAATTAATAAAACAACAGCAGTTGGAAGGGAAATAACTACCTACTAGTTCCATGACTTCACACAAAACATTGTTTTAAGATAACAAATTTATGACTGAAGCCACAAGGAAATCATAGATATTACACATGAACTGAACCACAGTTACATTTGAACGAATAAGATTGATCAAAGAATCAGACCTAAAAAGTTAGATCTGTTGGCTGACGGAAATAGATCTACGGGCTTGAAAGCGTCACTAAAAAAGCTGATAAGAGTAAAGTAGAAAATAGACTTAGGCCTTCTGCAATATTAGGTATGCTTTTCACATGGTCCACAAAACTGACAATTCGAAGGAAAAAGAAAGTGGCGTGACATGTGGATATGTCTACAGCGGACTTTTAAATTTCCTCTATACTCTGTAGTAGGCAAGGACGTCCACGTTCACCATCAACTGGTGTAGCAGCGTCATGCACGGCAACCCACAAATTTTCCACAGTAAAAGACCTATGTTAAATATAAAAATAGGAAGGAATGTGTAAAATAGAAAAGCCAAGAATATTCACAGCAAAAGAGCCTAAGTAAGAGCAACAATCTTTCTTCCTTTTTTTTCTCTCTTTTTTTTTTCTCATTGAAGAATGAAGATTAATGAAAGATATGTTTATGACTGTAAAAGCACTTCCAAACCAAGTAAAAAAATTGATGTTTATAATCAGTACTGAAAGTATTTACAGCAAAGGCTTGGAAAATGAGCACTAATTTATACACACAATCATACAGAATTATTTCTCTAAAACTAATGATGCAGATGGCTTTTTGATCAATTAACTTTCTACAACACTTTGCACACCCTGGCTGGCTGTAATTAAAATCTTGTACAAACAACACTGAATGCTTCAGTATTCACAAATAATAAAATCTCAACTTGACAAAAAACTTCAGGTTAAGAAGACTTTGAGAATCCTGTTCCTTAAAGAGCCTACAAGAGTGTATCACTTACATACAATGCTAATGTACATCAAAGAACACACATAACTGGGCATAGCAGTTTGAAACACGACTAGACTTATAAAGTTGTGTTAAAATTTGTAGTAAAACTTGAACAATAGCACTGCAAACCTTCAGCATTTAAAAGTTGCAAAATTTAGTACTCTACACAAAACTGTACGTATTTTCGACTGCTCTTCCTGTACTCTGATTTTGACGACTAGGAATTTGCTCTAATGATTCAGTTCGCGTACGAACGGAGCCCCCTAGCACCATCACCTGCACACACATTACCGGAAGAAAAGTCAGTAAAGGATATCCAGGCAGTTCAATACACAGACTTGCTTCAACACACTCAGACACCACAATTTTGTAATAAAAGTCGAGGTAGGTAAAAGAGAAATTGTCATGCTTGGCATACCAGTGAGATGCTGTAATCAAATCACTCTATGTATAATCAAAGCGTGGAAAGTCCCCCTAGAGAGGAAAACCAAATTACAACAACCAAAAAGATACAGTGCTGACAGATTTTTGATAAAATTTAATGAAATGAACTCAAGAATCTAATACCAAAAACTGATCATCGCTATTTAGATAAGTTAAAAATCTTACAGCAAATCTTATTGGTCATTTTCATTGAACACATCTCACATAATTCAGCAAAGTTGCATTCTTATAACTAGCATTAATATTAAATTCAACTAGTAGCAGGGCAGTGCATTTACTCACAAAGCAAAGGAAGGAGCGTATGTGCCGTTAGCAACCCAACCGCCAATGCATCACACCTACAAAAATGCGATACATAAGATACAAAACAGCTAAAAAAGAATAATTTTCAAAATTACTTTGGGAAAAGGGGCCTTAAGATGCTATGTGCAAAGCAAGACAACAGTAGTATTTACAGATTTGATAAAAGGGTCAGTACCTGTGTTGTTTTGTTTTGTTTTTTTAAAACAGTGACTCAAAATTTACACTTAAGTTAGAGAGGATTAGCAGTTAATAAATATTCTTGGTAATCATGATACTCTGTACGCTTGATCTCAATTCAGAAATTCCACAGAATTTCAAGATAAAACCATAAACCAACTTCAAAAGAAGAGAGGTTTAGGGCATGAGGTAGGATAGCATTAGATATATTCCATACATTGATTTAAAGTTACCTTGATAGGCCAATGAAAATTACCGTGCATGTTACCCAATTTTCACAGATTTTATCATTTAGTTTTAACTGAATAAGCAATATTTAACAAGAATGAAAGCCTTTAAAAATATTACTTATTAATTAAAGCTAATAAGAAGCAAAACTAAGCATGGAGTAATGTAGCAGCAACAACCACGTTAACTTAACTGTTAAAAAAGATATTACTAAGCAATATTATAACTTAAGCAAAAATCTCGGCAAAAATACAAGAGCAATAGACCTCAATTAATCATGCTTTGTATAAAAAAGTAAAAATGGAGATAAACATTGGAATGCACAGGCACACGCAACTATACCCATGCACACAACAGTTGACTGGTGAGGTTTAATTTTTCTCTTCCCAAAAGAAAGGAAACAGTAGATTCAAAAATATATAGTCACCTTAATCATTACTAGAAAGTTTTCAAGTATCTAATCAATTTGTGAATTGGACAGAAAATTGGCACTCTCAAAGAGTTAAAGTCTTGTAAATTGCTGAGCCATTTGAGAACACTAAAGAAGAAAGACTACTTCAAAAGGCTACACGTAATAATCAATCACAGGCCACCAAAATCGATGAGTTTTAGAATGTTGGCCCCATACAATAAAATGTGGTAAGATAAACTTTTGGCCTTATCAAGACACGAAAACAACTAGAAGGCATTTTTATCAATGGATAAACAAGAGAAAAATATTGAAATAAGCATTACAGATATGTTCCAAAAACTTTTAAAAAGTTTAGATTGATAAAAATAATGATGAGTTCAGCAGTAAGCCCCATGACTCACCTCTCTTCCATCAACTATAAGTGGGCGTGGTCTAGGATCAACTGGTGTAGAACCAAGAGAAACAACAACAGTTGAGGGTGTAGATGGGGTGGGAGGAGATACAGCTGGTGCTCTTGAAATTGACGTTGATGGAGTATTGAGTGCATGATTAGTAGACACTATGTAGTTTGTTAAAGTCACATCTGCAGTGCCACCTGACTCCAAGGGAATTGGATGTTCTCGAAAGTGTTCAAGCATCTCAAAGATTGCAGGAAACCAGAGGTGCTGAACTCTGCATTGACCTTGTTCGTTGAGTGTCATTCTTAGATGCTAGAATAAAATTGAAAAGTCATAATTAACACATTAAGGTAATATGTGATGCACTAAAAATGTGAAAAACTTAAAAAGCATATATAAGACAGTACCTTTGCCCTTCCTTGAAAATTGAAAGTTAAAACAAACTCTCCTTTGCGTGTCTCACTCTGTCGAACTAAAAACACACCATGTGCTGCAGAACCCTCATGTAAAACTAACTGAGCTGCCTCTGAGCGGGGCAAGGTACCATGGAACCAAGGGTAATCTCTGAGTAGCCATGATAAGTCAGCATCACCTTCCCCAGCTGAAAATATGCCACAAACATATGATTTGACAAAATTCGATGTAAATAGTAAGCCATATAAAATGAGTAAACTAACACTTACTGGTTTCTATGTCAGTGCGTGACGAACATATATCAAAATTACTGTTACTTGACAGTCTCTGACTGCTGTCACCCGCTGACCGACCGGCACCTGTCACTCTTGGTGGCAATTCAGGTGGATGTTCAAGACTATCTCCATCAATAGGTGGGGCAGAAGCTTTACTGCTAGGTCCTCCTTGCCGTGAACTGTAAATAAGAACAATCTCATCTCACTTCACATGTTTACAAGGTTCAAAAATACTTTGTACAGCAAATGGAAAAATGAAGTAACTATAGATGCGAAAGTATGTACCTTGATTCTGAATGTTCAAGAACAGTTTGAGTAGTTGACCTCATACAATATTTGATTGTGGCTAACCATGACTTCATATCATCCGTGTCATGAGCTTCAATCACATATTCCTGTTGGTTTTCCGCCTTCAACACAAAAGTATTCTCTTTATCTGGCATTTCAAGAGCAGTTGTCTCTCTTGCCTCTAATATAAGGAAACAAAATACACCACTTCTAGGTTTAGGCGCCTACCAGGGATGAAAGAAAAGAATAAGTGTTAACATGGCCTAGTATTTAAAATAATAATAAACAAAAGAACAGATCAGATTAGAAAAATCAAAAGGACACCTACCTTGGGAGGGGAGTAGAATTCAAGCATGTATCCACTAACTGTTTTTACAAGGGCGAGGCGACATTTATCCCATTTACCTGTCCCGTCCAAATTCTCACCACTTAAATAATTAACAATACCCTCTTTCCGACATTCAACAACTATCTTGGCTAACTTTGTTTTGGAATGTTTGTCTTTTTTATCACTAGGCGACAGATCAAGTTCATCAGAATTTTGCTTCTGAAAAAGGGCCTTTCCTTTCTTGAAGCCTTTCATAGATAACCGTCTTAAGAAAAAGCTCTTTTGAGGAGCTTTGGGTGAGGGCATATCGGGATCTTGTTCGGAACAATTATCAGATAAGTCATCATGTCCGGTGGCTCCATTGGCAAGGCTCTTCTCTGAGGACGCGTTCTGAGACCCAAACTCTGCTTCGAAATGCTCTTGAAAACAATCGACGAATTTGCGAAGAAACTCTTTGTGAGACACATGATGCCGCAGAGAATCTGACATGTGACTACTGGTATACAAAGTAAATGCATTCACAAAATCTGCTGCCGCGGACTTCGCATGCTTGTCACAAAATTCCACCCAGTTTGATTCAGGACTGACTGAAGCCATGGCAGAAACGAAGATCCCAGCTTTGGGCACACTTTACTCCAAACACATGGTCATAACCTTGGAAAGTTTATTGTAATTTAAGCGAAGAAATCAAAGAGGAAAATATGGACGGGCAGGAAAACAACGTTTACATACACAAGCAGACCACAAGAACACAACTTAACCCCAAACTCAAACTATCACTCGGAAGGTTATAGAAAGATGGCCAACCTCAGAAAACGCAATCCTCAAATTGTGATGCACAAACTTGAATTACTTGTTAACTACTAAATTTTATAATACATATTTAAAACAGAAAAATTTCATTGTTAAACGTCCAGATAATTTTCAAAATAACAAAAATAGTCTTTCAGAGTTTTAGAGAGAAGATAGTTTAAACGTTGGGCGTAAACATTGCTTTCCATTCTGCCAATATCGTTCAACAAAAGTCCCAATGTGAGTGTCACATTATGCAACATCTGAGGTGTGAAGTGTACATATTGATGTAGTAATACTTTGCTTTTCGGTCAAGTTGAAAAAATACGACAAAACCTTCGAGATAACGTATTTTCTTTATTTATTGACGCAACTAAATTTTGTCATGGGTTTGTCCGTCTGTACAGCTGTCACCACTGTCACCCACCACCCACCTCGCAAATAAGCGTGGCTGATGACCCCTCCTTTTTGTTGTGACTAAGGAATGTTTGTAGCTATGGAGGACTGGAAGCTCCTCGTTCAGAATGAATGATTATTTATTTAGGAAACTCTTGGGCAGCCTTTCATTCTGTTCCAAGAAATGTCTTTGGTAGACGGACCAAGAATCACTGCTGGTACAGTAAAGTTTTTGTCATTACCTTTACATAGAACAACTTAGAGTTTACTGTTTACTGCTGTTTGTTTATATCCTTTATGCAGACGGAATTTACATACTTGATGTTGTTATAGAAATGGCTGGTGTTCAAACTGGTCAGAAATACTTGTTACTTTTATTATCTTTATTACAGATGTTAGTTTGCCCTATGTCAACATTCCACTTTATCACATTCAACAGAAGTATAATTGGGATTGTGGAATATCTTGTGTTTTAATGGTGCTCCCTGAGGAGAAAAGGAAAGATCTCCTTAAAAATTTTACTGATGTTTGTGCTGATGAAGGTTTTTTCAAAAGGCAAGTGTTTTATCCCCCTCCTCCTCTCTGTTACTTATTAAGCTCTGTTCCTTCAGATTTTTAGATTATGTCCTTTTATTTTTATTATAGTACTTGGACTATAGACCTGTGCTATTTATTGCTGCGATATAACATACCTCACAAATATTGCACGATTACTTTGGGCGTACATCCGGATTATGTCAATCAGAATTTCTATGACAAAATACTGCTCAAGGTGAGCCAATAAAGACTCCTTCATTTACACAAATATGCATTTGGTTTTCTTTAATTTAGTGATAAAACAATATTTTAGGATGAAGTACGAGTTAACAAAAAGTTTGAACAAGCTGCTAACAGGGGCATGTCTATAAGAAAAGCATCACTCTCTGATGTTGATTTGCAACATCATTTGTCTGAATGTGGACCAATAATATTGCTGACAAATGCAAATTTATTACATTGTCAAGTATGTAATAGCTCGCGATCGTTTTCGGATGAGCTAAAAGCATGTCTGCCATGGAGAACTGGAAATTCCAGTGTCAAAGTACCTGTTGAATATCATGGACACTACATTGTCCTATGTGGTTATAATATGTCGGAGCAGAGCTACTTATATCGAAATCCAACTTATAAAGACAGTAAGAAAATTTCCGTTCAAAATTTTGCAGTATGTTGTTGTAAGCCTAGTTAATTAAAACGTAACAAAAAATCCTACTTTCAGAGATCTGCTCTATGACCTATGATGCTATGACGGAGGCGAGAAAAAGTCATGGAACTGATGAAGACGCTGTTCTTATTTTCCAACGCAAATGGATTTAGAAGAAAAGTATTTATTTTGTACTTGTCAATTTTTTAACTTTAGTGTGTGTTAACTTATAACTAGTCCCCATAAAAAAAGCCGATTTAGTAATTGAAGTACACCTTTCTTTCAAAAACTAGTCTTATATTACCTGACTTTTCTCCATTATTAAACAAGTAATACAGTTGTTACACTCTTGCGCTGCTGTAATTTTAAAAAATTGCAGCCTGGAACAGCTTGTATTATATTTATCGTGCACACATTGCATGTCTACCACCATCAACTGTAAGGGTTTCTCCAGTTGTGAAAGTTGAATCGTCAGAGGCAAGAAATGCAATGGCTTTGGCAACTTCTTCAACTGTTCCTGCTCTCCCCAGGGCATGTGTTGATCGTGAGTGCTCCAGAAACTGAAAAGATGACATTCAGTTAAAATTTTCAAAATAAATTCATCTCAGCAAAATGCAATAAGAAAATTCTAAATTACCTCAGCATAGTCTTTCTCTGACATTCCTGCTCGTCTGTGAATATCTGTCACAATGACACCAGGATTCACTGCATTCACACGAATACCATATGGTGCCAAATCCAACGCTGTGCATCTTGTCATTTGATCAACCGCAGCTTTACTTGTGGCATAGGCAGCAATGTTGGGAAACTGTAGGGATGAATTTTTCTTTAGATTAATTGGAATAGCAGTTGTTTATAAACAACCAAAGTTAGGTCTATATCCTATATCCAAGTTATTTAAATTGTTGTTTGGGTTGTCCAAAATCTGAAACTTACAGATCTTAGACCAGCCACGCTTGATACATTCACTATTGTCCCTTTTGTCATTTTCAAATGTGGTATAGCCAATTTCATGAGTAGAAAAACCGAGCGAACATTTACATTCATCTGTCTGTCAAAATCTTCAACAGACATTGTTTCAAAGCTGCCTGTTACTAGTGTCCCGGCATTGTTAATCTGTCAGCAAAGCAATTATGATAAAAATGTTTTTTTACTAGATATTAACTAAGATTTTCAAAAAATTGAGGGAATTATACCAAAGAATCTAAACGCCCAAAATGTTTCACAGTGTCATTGATGATCTTTTCACAGCTTTGTTGATCTTCCACTTGACCTACTATGGTGAGGATCTAAACAGAGAGAAAACTGATTATTGGAAAGGTTTAAGGACTAAGATTTGAAACAAATAAGATGGATGCACAATGTACGTTTTCTTTCGATAAACCTGTATCTTCACATTGTTTCACAACAGATTTTAAGTTGTCTTCATTACGTCCATTTAGTGCAAGATGACATCCCAATTTTGCAAAGTGTATGGCTGTGCCAGCACCAATTCCTGAACTAGCACCTGAAATGTTACAGTTGAACTATATTTTTAAAATATCTGAAAGAAACAAAATATAACAAAAAGAAAGTCAACACTATTTTGCATCCCAACCTGTTATCAACACCACTTTATCCTTGAGGGATGACATTTTATCAAGGTCACTAGCCAAGAAAATCTGAATTGTAGTAAGGAATTGAAGGGTTAGCCAGCGAAGAAAGGGTTGCAAAATTGGAACAGAAGTTTTGTAGAACTTTGTATCGGGTTACTGCACGGAGTCAATAGGTGCCAGGTGGTACCGTGGTACCGGTACCGTTACCGAGCAAACGGAACAGGGCTTAAGGCAGGATTGGAGGATTTTCCTCTTGTCAATAGGTACCATGAACCCCATGAACATGGAGCGAGTCAGCTCAATGTGATTTGCCAAGAGATTGATCACTGTGGGAGCAGGGGATGATTACAGAGACACAGAAACACTTCATTTCTTTACAAATCCTGAGATTTATTTACAAATATATCACTACAATAAATTGCAACATAAAATATCTGTACAAAAGACAGTTGAAAACTGAAGATTCAGGGGTAAGAAAGAAAGAATTAAAGGAACGCAAAGAGGTGGTGGGGTCATATCAGCAGCAATAAGATGAATTCAGGTAAGAAAAATCTACGAATCTAGAACATAAGTATATAGTCTTTGTTTCATTTTCACAACCACACATCATTTCCACAGAAAGTTCAAACACATCATAATTGTAACATTACAGACTCGCTCACTACATATCTAATTTTAGTTACTACATTTCCATTGGGACGGGCATGGATAGCAGTGCAAATATGTGATGTGCTGAGTAATCACAGAGGCATGAGCTGTGCAGAATCAAGCAAAGTTAACTGTAAATTTTTTCAATGGGTGGAAGTACTCTGAAGTTCCAAGGAAAGTCCCACTGATGCAATCGTAGGGCAAAATCTCCTATGTTTGCAACAGTAGGACATTTTCTTCCAGAGGCAGTCCTACTGTTGTATTTTCAGAGTCTCCTGTTAGTTAGCAGATGCCATGGCTACAGAAACTACAAAACAAAAATTGGACGAGAGAAAATCAAATTAAAATTAACAGTTACATGCAATGATAATGATGATGGATGATGAATAGGAACACAGGTCAAAATACAATTTATCAAGCAGAGAAATACTTATACTATAAAAAAATTCCTAAAATGAAAATTAAATGGGTCTGGTTGATTGATCTTGGGTGCAATAGCATTTCAGAAATAATTGTAGGTTGGCAAGAGAAAGGCTTCTTCTGAAGATGATTGTGTTCAGAAATTGGCAAATGCCACAGCGAGATTGGTTCTGGAAGACTTTCATTGACTATAACCACACACACACATACATACACACATCCCTAGACAAAATAATAAAGAAATCAGTTACAATCAGAGGAAATTTACAAGCTGAGTCACATAGAACACAGTAACATTAAAATAGCTGCAATAATTTGGAAACCAACCAAACGCCAGAATGGGAAAAAAAATAATTGGTGCCCTGTACCATGGCAAGTAATTGACTTTATACAACCCCTGCTCCAGCCAGCACCTCAAAGGAGTGAAATTGATACCTACAAGAGAGGATCAGATAGTACTTTCAGTGCTATACTCGAAGACACTTGTGCTAAAATGTGCGAAGAAATTTACTTCTTAATGACCCATGGCAAAGCTATTGTAACTTTAACCATCCCTGTGGGAATCAGGAACTTTTCTACCACCCCCATTCTCATAGTTCCTTAGATTATTATACTGAGACAGAGAACACCAAAGTTGAGGCCACCAACTTTAAGAAAAGGGGGAAATAAAGAAAATGCTTTAAGAGGGAAAAGGGGAGGAGGCTACAAAAAAAAAAAAAATTGTTTCCTATCCTAGATTGTGTTAAGATAAAGCAAATTAACAACAGGTTGTAACAGCTTTGGTGGTGTGTATCACCCACTGGTTAGAATTTTCTTTAGCATTTTAACAAACAGTTATCATTATGTAGACACAAACAGGTGAAAAACAAATATGCAAGCAGCAATAACTTTCTACATGTTAAACCAAAAAAATACTTCTGGTTCAAACAGAAAGTTCATACATTCATATTTTAATAATGTTAACACATTGACCATCATGGCAACATTTCAAAATTATTAAGTAATAGAGAAGAGCTAACATTATCAATTACATATCTAATGTAATTGCTTGCTAGTAATTCAGCATCATTGCTCACAACTTGAGATTCAAATTTCTAGTACATTTAAGTGTTTAAGGAACAGATTAAAGAAAAAATCCTCACATAAGAATAATTTTATCATTACTGATCACAGTAGTACGTCAGATTGATTGCTTAGTGAAAAAAAAGTACATTGATGAAGCAGCATGTATAGCATAACTGCCCAACTAAAACATAACTGAAGAGCTTTCAAACAGGCAGTGCTTTAGAAACTCATTTTCTTGTTGTTCTTATGCAAATAACTACATGATTGGCGGTATTACGAATAATGCCTAGCAAGACTACTAGCTGACTCCTTAGATTAATGCCAAATAAGTAACTCAGTCACATACAACAGTTTGGCACACTATGCATCTGTGCACTTTTGTGAATGCAGAATAAGAAGTTTTCATATTTTCTAATACACCAAAGGCAACAAGTGTACAATGATCTGCTTACACAATGCTTCAAGGCTTAGCACCAAATCATAAAAATGAAATCTATACCAATAAAGAACAAAAAGTAAATAATAAAAAAAAAGTAACCAAAAACAAGAGGCACTCGTACAAGAACCAATGCAATTTCTTGGTCCCTTTGAGCACAAAAACAAATTTTCCCTTTTCTCTTAAAAGATTTCAAATTCCAAGAAACCAGTGGAAAACGGACAATCTTTCAACCAAACCATAGATTATACTTGAAAAATTTAGATGGATTTAAATATTGCCCTTAGAAAATTGTACTGAAGTATGCACAGATGGAAAGAATAAGACCTGCTTTTATAAGAACAATTGTTTCCTTTTAAATACACACTTTGAGACCTAAGAGAATATAAAACAGTCATATTGGTCTCATATTCCTTCTAAAACAGAGAAAAAAAAGAAAAGAATGAAACTCACAGACTTATCTCCTTTTACATCCGAGAAGCAACATTTACTAGGGTAGAACAGACAACATTACGGGACCATCCTATTACTATCCACTTTATTATACAAAAGTCTGCTTTTGAATAATGTAACGAGGCTTCTCAATCATGTGACATATCACCGAGTTGATTTAAATCTTAGTGGGCAAAACTCTCCAAACTGGAAGAATGAGCTTAGCTTACAAGCATGTCTAGTAAATCAACATGAAGATAAAGAGAAATCCTATTTGAATGAGATGTGGCTGTATTATGTATCATAGCATGACACTGAAATGTTAAAGAAAATGTGTTGTAGTAAATGAAAAGTTAAGTTTGCAAGCTGGTTATTTTCCTCTTCTTCTTGTTTAAAAGAAATTGGAAACTTGAAAGATATTTTCCCACTTAACTAGGTTGCATGAAACACAAGCACAATTGCACTAAACATTAGTATCACTTCATTAGGGTTAAAATAGCAAGCAAAAGACGTGCCTTACGTAACCCAAATATGAGCCAAACAAACATCAGGGAAAACAAAAATTTTAATTTTAAATAAATTGATTGCTGAAATTAACCATGAGTGCCAGTGTATAAGATATGGATGAAAGGTACAGTTAATGTACATGTTTAACAAAGATATTGTTTGTTGATAAAATAATAAGACATCAAGATGCAAAAGTCCATGTTATATGTCTATAGTTCAACACTACAAAAACAAAGTCTGGGAAACTTTTGTTTGTTTTCAAAATGAATGCTTTGGTAACTTCAACAGAAAAAGTACAGGTCAGTGTTAGTACACTGCATCTAAAAAAATAAATGCAGAGATTGAAACATGAAATATAAATTTGAATTTTCCTCAACTTAAATAAAGCCCATACTGGTGGATAAATAATGCAGGCTTCACATCTCTATCCGCTTCAAAGTTAACACCATATCATATCACACAACAATGAAAGATTTTGCGACCATCACCACCTTCCATACTTCAACAGAAAAGTAAAAGTTTACTTCACATTAAAACAAAAAAATCACATCACAATCTGACAAAATAATTAAACACAAAGAAAAAAAAACTGGTAATAATAATTACTATAAGAGTACTGGGTGTCTCAAGAAACCCACTAAAATCACAGAGGCAGTGGATGAAGTGACAGAATACATTTCACAATACTGTCACTGACCCACATTGCCAACAGCTAATAGGCGCATCAGGTTGCCAGTATTTGTCAAATAATACAGGTGCTTTCTAATTCAGATACATTCTTAATATTTTGTACACATTCCTTGAATGAACAACAGCATGTCAATTGCACTTTCAACAATAGAAACATCAATGACTGCTAATGTCAACCATGACAAAATAAATCAATCATTAGCAACCATTCATGTTCTTCAACAATCAACATTTAATCAATATGTTAATTAAATGGTACTCAGATAAGATACCAACTTTAACACAAACACACCTATACTATTAAGAAGTACAAGTATTCACAATCTGCAGTAATATGTTAATACATAAGATACTGATCACTGTATCAATTACACTAAGACTTTTATACGTGTGAAAATGGATGATTACTATGAAGATTATGGAAATGATGAAAACAGGAAGGTTGATAATTAAACATAAAGGTCATGATATAGAATGTTGAACAAGACGTGACAGATGAATGCAGTACTTACGAGCACTAATATTTGTTGGAAATAATTAATATAAGCTAAATTTACAATGTTCTGCTGTCAAACTTCCATGTGCTTTGAAGGTGAATGTACAATAAAAGGTTCACTCCACATTCGTCTCAAATCACCCTAGAGCAGAAGAGTAGAAAATATTGATTAATTTTAAGGTCTGTCAGCATATATCAAATACTCAATAGAAAAGTGTAACCTACCTTCAAGTATGCCATAGTAAGCAGTGGCAGCAGCGTGAAAGGTACAAGATAAAGAAGAGCTGGCTGTGCAGCTTTGAACACCTCAGCTGATACTGTCGCCGTCAGCAGTCCCAGAAAGTATCCAATAAGTGAGCAGTGGAAGTAGCTGCAAGTTATACATGCTCATTAGAATAAAACATTTTATTTATATTTCTTCAAAGTGTTTTGAACAAAACTTTGTATACTGTTAGTGTTATGTTTTCTTCTAAATTTTGCCCAGCATTCCGACTTACCTCACTTTGCTCAGATGTCTTGGAGGTGGGAGTCCAGTCTCCCCTAAATGTAATAACTGAGATTTTTTGTAGGCATCATACCTTAAAACAAAACAGAGCAGAAGCCCCGGCATAACCTGAAAACATTTAATGTAAGGATAGTGCACTATTATAAAAGTTTCACTGAAAATTAGATTTTAGAGTCTCTGAACTCACAATATCTCCTAAGCCCAGCATCGAAAAGTGACCGGAATTCTGAAGGCTAGGGAACACCAATTTCCCAGGCAGAGAGAGTTTTGGAGCTTCCTTCACAATTCCTCCAAGATGAAGTTTTCGAGCAACAATGCCAACTGGATTTTCAGCGGGCCGAGTTGCTACCTAAAATTAGAGCCATTGTGACAATTACAACTCAGCAAAGGCTATTTAATTTGGGATATTGACACATGAGTATTTATTTTCTGAGTAGAAGCAAACAAACCTTGACCATCACATTAGTGTTGAAGATGTAGGATGAAAAGAAAACCCAAAAGACGTCATAAATGAGAAGACCAGTGAGCAAAAGGGTTGAAACTTTGAGGCTTGGCAGTCTTACAAATGCGATCAAAGCGACACAAAGACCCATGCCCATAGCTGTAAGAGTAAAAACAACATCAGCACCTTTTTTTTTTTTTTGAAATGGAAAACTTTTACAGTATCGTCATTATTACTATTGTACAGTCATACCATCCATAAGAAGCCAGTGTCCGGTCAAAACCCAAATGCAAACTATGAAAAGTGCTAGTGAGAATGATAACAGTTCAGCACCAGTGAAGCGACCACATACTCCAAATGATATTCTATATTTGAAAAAAAAAACAACAAACAAAACAGAACAGTTAGAAAGTTAGGTAACAACTAACACAGTGTAATTAAAACTGAAATGTGCCACCTTTTAGAAATAAATGTCAATTAGGAAAATCACTGTAAGCTAAGTAATTATAGAAGTACTTACTTGTTACCATCCGAACATGGTCTAATGATGTACTGACACATAGGCAAAAGTAAGAAAGCCAATGCTACTGTAGCAATAACTGGAAGTTGAAAGAATAATAAATTCGCTGATGAATAGAACAGGTAAATCTTAACTTAGAGCTAAAGTCAACACAGTTTTAACTCACTTGCTGTACAAATAGCAAAGAGCATTTGCATAGAATCAAAAAAGAAGAACATCACAAGAAGGGAAACAGAGGCTCCGAGTGGAAGACACAAGGCTTGCATTGTGTCTAAAGTTTGCACTCCTGCAAAGAACAATACTGCAAAAATTAAAATGACATCATTCACTGAAGAAGATATTGAATTTACAAAGTCTCAGAATTACATACTGTTTTCAGCAGATGAACTATTTGTTGCAATACCAGTCAGACCAACAGTTTTCTCTCTTTCTTTTTCTCTTTCTCGAGCTTCTTGTTCCATATTAAGTGATCTGTAATTTGATATTTATAAATATAAATGAAATTATACAAACTAAAAACCAATATAAAAATACCACGTGAGTATTCTCAAATGCATCTAACCTGAAGCTTCCATACACAATAAGTAAGATGGATATTAGAAAAGTTGATACTCTTGAGGAATCCATGATGGAGTACGCCCTGAAAGAATAAACTGTGTAAGACAAACTACAAATTCATTATTGTTGTTAGACAGAGAGGCATGACATGTCTTACCACTGATAATCGGCTTGAGTAGCCATTTTCAAACTGAAGTGTCACACCATGAAAACGGACACCAAACACCTAAAAGCACATATCAAAATTCTGATTTGAATTTGATCATGATCAGAAAGAGTTGATCAAACTGATAAATTTTGAAAATAGCACAAAATAGTAGGTGGCGCACCAAGGAAATGACCAGATCTTAACTTAAGCATCTGATTTGGTCTTCAAACAACAGTTAAGTCAACTCACTGATAAATAACTGGAGGACATTAAATAAACAAAGGTGGATCTTTTTTCAATGGATAATGTTACTTATTCATTATGGTTTGATAATGCAGTCCAATTATGATGAATGAAACATCGATAAGTAAAAGAGCTCTCATGGAATTGGGTGGCTGTTGCTTCATACATGCTAAGCAATACCTGACACAATTTCTCTCATTATCATTTACAGTCCCACTCAAAATGAGAGAACAGTTTGTTGCTGATCCCAATACCCAAAAAAAAAGAAAAAAAAAAGGAAAGAGATAACCTCATTATAATATGCTGTCAATAATAGATAAAGATAAAACCAAACCAAAAGAAAGGACATTGACTAGAAATGACAAATAAAATCCACAAAGAGTAAAATTTGAAACAAAACAAAGATGAGTGCAGACGAAACTAACCATTTAAAAATGGGAACTGACAGACGAAAACAATGAGTGAACTGACATGTGTCTTGGATTCTCAATAATCACACTGCTCCAGTGCCAAGGACAATGAAGAGAAATGAAATATGTACAGCCTGAGTGCTAATACAGCTAGGAAATACGGGACATAGTAGACTAACCACAGTTTTAACAAAATTCGGCAGACTTTACCTTATGGAACTGCTTTCTCCATTAAAGGGTACAGTGTCGTTCACCCCGCCTTGCTGGAGTCGGGCCGAAAGCCCGAAGACTACGGACACCTTCTCTCAGTATATTCTAACTTATCACCATTTTCGCGTTATTCCTAGTTCTTATAGATCACGAAATACCCCCAAAATACGAATATTATTCCAGAATCTGCAAAGGCTAAACCTCCCTGGCGGCCATTTTGGTAAACATGGTCACGTGAGAAATAGTTCCTCGGTCGGTCTAGCCGAATATTCATTGGAATGACTGATAGCCTATGGTTTTCTTCAACCCTTTGCTCATAAAAAAACTTTTTAGTTATCTCATCAAATCCACCCATTTTGTATTGCTGTTTTCAAGACAAGTATGTGATATATTGTATACTGTGTTCCTCCGCTTACAGAATAGATGTGCTTTGCTGCACATAGCACAAGCTTTGCAAGGTTTGCAAGTGCCAGTAGCAATACTGCGTGTGACGCAAACAGAGGCCTACATACCACCTGGAAATGAAGCCCAGCCTTGTATTATGTTCTTTACACCTAATTTGGTTTCTCAGAAACTACTCCAGTTTGTCCATCTAGAGTTCTAACGTCTGCAAATGTTCCTCAGAAGAACAAATCCACTCCGATGAACACGCGGTAAAGCCGGTGCGTTTTAAACTGGGACGCTGGCATGGGTTGGGTTGTGGCGGGGAAGTACGTCTAGCTTGCTTCGATTCGGTTCCACGAGTCAAATCTGCTGCATTCTCACAATGAAACAACACACTGTAATGATCCTGTACTTTTTATTTTTGTCCGTGATAGGGGTTTACAATAACAAGGTTTGCCTTCAGAAAACTTAAACTAAGACGATGCTAAGACGAAAAGCATGCTACAACACGCCAAAACAGGAACATGGCCGTTTTTCTAAAGTCCTTGAAAGAACACTCAGCGTTACCACCGCGACGTTCCTGACTTGGCTGTGATATGGCACGTCGGTTGTCGGGGGCGTGGGGTAAGGAAAACGGAGCAGTTTAGACCGCACAATATCCAAAGTCAAACCGCCAGACCTAGATGAGAACTTTGATCCGACAGAGACTAGCGCCTTCGGACCTTGAGCCCCTGCAGGGGCAGGATCCGACGGGGCGTGGCCCATAGCGCCGTGTGACACCGAGTCCCGAGGCACCTCACCTCGCCCCGGTGAGCCAGGTGGCGGCCAGGTGGCACGGCCCAGGTCAGGGCTGGCTGCCGCTAGCTGCCGCCGACAAAGGGGATCCGCAGGACACATCGAGTGACACGAAGCACGGGCGGCGCGGCGGCGGCCTAGCCTGGCGCGCGGAGTCAACTAACGGAGACGCCCGCCGCGCCGGAGCGCGTCGCCGCTTACGAAGGGAGAAGGAAAAAAAACCTCCGGAAATTCTTTAGGTTTTGCCTGGCGATCCGTTGCGGGCGCGGTGGAGGCGGATTTCAGCCACTGTAGCCAGGCGGGGGGACCTGCGTCGTGCTCAGAATCCTGGAGTGAAAAGGGCGAAAACAGTGCAGGGTCAGTACTGGTTGGCAAGTGACTCAGTGACTCGGTGGCGCCCGCTACTGCTGGGTCCAGTTGGAGACAAAGAGCCTCCGCTGTGCGACCCGCTCACCGTTCGACGAGGAAGAGCTCTGCGCTGAGCTGCTTGCCGAACTCTGGGCCGAGCTTTGCGCCGAGCTGTCGGCGGAACTCTGCGCCGAGGATGAGGATGAGGAGCTGGTGCTGCCGGAACTGCCGCCAGACGCTGGCGCTGGCGCTGGCGCTGGCGCTGGCGCCGGCGCCGGGGCGAAGCCGCCTCCGTAGCCGTACTGCTTGTGAACCGCAACTGTAGCTGCTGTGGCGAGAAACAATCGAGCGTTTTTGGTCCTGCGATCTTTGGTGCATGGTACGAGGACGAGGGGTTTCGATTATAATTCCAGAGGTGGACTTACTGCCTCGCACGCTGTTGTTGAGGAACTGGTTGACGGAGCGGAGAACGGAGATGGGAATCTGCAACACGGCGTAAGGCACGGACGTTAGAATACAAAAGGTGGAAAGGCAGGGCCGGCAGGAGAGAGAGAGAGAGAGAGAGAGAGAGAGAGAGAGAGAGAGAGAGAGAGAGA